CCTCTAGTAGTTATCACCTCTAAACAGATGATTAATTAAAATTTAAACAATATTTTAAGATGTTTGATGAATGATTATAAAATAAATTAGGATTTAGTTCTCATTACAACCTATTTTGCCTATAATAGCTTGGTTAGTAGGTCTACATGAATGAGTTTATTTAAAGTTGTTCGTGGTAACAAACTTAAGAAGTATATAAACTTTCTTCTCATGTCTTATCACACTAAGATGTATGCATCACACTAAGATGTATGCATTAGCTGAGTTTTTTTTTTTTTTTTGCATGCTAGTCCATGATCTTTACATTGAGATCACAATATGAATTCAAACAAGTAATTTCTAATACTAAATTCAAGTTGACTTATATAAGCATTATAATACATTTGATATAATAGATTATGATATGATATGAATTAGAGTAAAATAGTATCTTTTTGGAACCAATAAAAAAATTAAAAGCATGTAGTGTTAGACCATCTAAAATATTATAAAGAGTTAGATCAAATGTTTATGTCATTGACCTACCACCTAATTTTAATATTAACTCTATTTCTAACATAAAGGATCGAGTTAGATAACAACCCATCTAAGATGACTATTTTAACATCTCTTTCACCTAATTTTGTTCTTGATGACCCAATTGAAGCCCCTTTTCATTACCTTTTTTCATCAATATAAAAGAAATATAATGATGCTATTTTGGATAAATAAGTTTTTTTTATCAAAGATGGTGAGGTTTAACGATTCTTAGTTCGTTACATAGGATGACATGATTCAAAATATATTTAGATTACTAGGAAGATATATTCTAACGAGTTAATTCTAATTTATAGTAGTACAATTAGAGCTATCAAGAGCTAAACTTGATTGGGATGAGTTTTTCCAATTCCATAAAAGTTGAGAGGGATAATAGACCTGATTTAGATTCTAAATATATAGTTTGAAATAATAAAGAAGAGCCTAAACCATCACTCTTTGATTAGGAGATTCAGCATATTCGACTCTATTTTACTGGATTTTTATTTGGTTTTATTATTGGATTTAGTTTTATTTTATTTTAGACTTTATCTTATTTTAATAAGTTATAGTGTTGGTTTTTCAAAACACATATAAATAACAAAAATGGTAAATTTAAATTTTTTAAAAGGATCCCAAGATCCTATTAGACATATTTATGGTTATTTAAGGTTTGTGTAAAGATTACTTAAAGATCAAGTGTTATTTTTTGCTTTGAATAATTGCTTTAAGGTTAAATTATTGCAAACCATAAGTCGTTCAAGTGTCTAACATCTAATGATAATCCACAAAAAATACTAGTGAGAAATCTTTTAAACCTTTTTAGAAGAAATGGATTGATATGTTTATGAGTGCTAGCTCTTTTTTATATTTTTTAGGTGTTTTGCGTTGTACTACGTATTACATAAAAAAATAAAAGGCATAACATTTTATTTATAGTGAAACTTGAAAACCCTATCAATAAAAAAAATTAATTTTCCCCCCGAATAATATCACAATATTATTTCAGGATAATTTTAAAAATTTATTCAATCAAGTCTTTTTTTTTAATTTTTCTAGGTTTAGAATTGCAATTTCTTGTATAAATTACATGATAGTCCTTAATTTCTATAACTTATTTATAGTCAAGTCACATTTGATTAATTATCCATTTTAATTTATGACAAATGGTTCTTATGTGTGTGACCTATTAGATTCTTTAATAAGTTGGTCCAAATATAAATCATAATCCTAGATAAAATAGGAATAAATGAATTAAACAAATTAATTTATTATCAATTCAATAATTAATTATTTATATTTAAAGATCAAGTATAATGTCTAATTTGTCATGATCCCCTAAATATTATAAAAGTTATAGTTTTATGTGACTAGTTTCTTAGTGAAATTATTATCATTTCATCAACAATGTTTCAATTTAAACATTATAGCATGAAGTGTGTTTACTCTATAAAATTATATTTATTTTTAATACCTAGTCATTGATTCTTTGAATTAAACTTCAAACTCTTTTCAAATATTATTTTACCTTTCATAAAGATTTACAATCAATATTATTTGAGAACATGTGCAATATTTTTCTAATTCACCTACGGTAATAAATCCTTTTTTAATCACTCAATTACCTTCATATAGTTCATGTTATACATAATATCTTCTTGTTTGTTACCCTTGATTAGGGTAATATACAGTTGGGATTAAAACATAATATTTTCAATGTAAGATAACTTAGTGATCTCAAATCTAAGAATCGCTTACACAATCATCATGTGAGCCTTTTCATAAATATAAATGATTTTTTCATATAAAGTTCTCATGCAGACTTGTTTAATGTACATACAATCTAACAAGCATCTACATATTAGTTATAGGTATTTCTTATACTTCAACTTATAAGATTAACTATTTTTTTTTATAAAGGAAAGAACATGATATGTATCAATCTCAACAACTCTAATTAATATCCAATCTTAATATAACATTGATCGGGAATATTTAGAAATAATATATTAATGTAATAGGAATCCTATAATCATAATGACTTCATAATTTTCTTTGCAAAGCATTTTTGTCCCATGAACTTTATCTTTACTCCAGATTCATTAATAAGATATTAGATTCATTAATCAAGTATTTGATAAATATTAAAAATAAATAAAGTCTTTATTAATAAATAAATAAATACACACACGCACAAAAACAAACAAAGTTAATGACATATGTAATTAACAGATTAACTACATGTAATATACAATAATAATTAGCTCAATTATTAGTAATGTTTTGATTATGGTTTGAATTAGAGCCACCAAGAGTTACACTTGATAGGGTTGAGTTTTTCAAACCTAAGAGAATTGATAGAAATAATAGACCCGTATCATAGATCACACATATGTATAGTCTAAAACAACAAAGAATAACCCAACCCGTCACTCTATGATTAGGAGAATAAGCCCATCAAGTCTGTTTTATGAGACTTCTATTTGATTTTATTATTGGATTTAGTTTTATTTTATTTTAAACTTCATCTTATTTTAGAGGATTGTTGGCCCAATTGTTAGTAATGTTTTTATTATGGTTTGAATTAGAGCCACCAAGAGCTATACTTGATAGCAACATGTTTTTTCAATCCCGAGAAAGTTGATAAAGATAATAGACTCACATCAATAATCACATATATATATAGTCTGAAACAATAGTAAATAGCCTAACCCGTCACTAACCCGTCACTTTTTTATGAGGAGATTGAACACATTCAAGTCTATTTTATTGGACTTTTATTTGGTTTTATTATTTGATTTAGTTATATTATATTTTAAATTTCATTTTATTTTAGAAGTGTGTTAGTCTAATTGTTAGCAATGTTTTGATTAAGGTTTGTTTAAGTGTATATTTCTACGAGGTTGATACCTTTTGATGGTTTATTAAAGAAATTATAGACCGACCTTAATTTCTCCTCCTCCTCCTCCTCCTCCTCCTCGATTCATTGTTGTGCCGCATCACATCAACATTGATATATAATACTACAGAGGACTGGAAAAGAAGAGATCACAGGTGGGTGGAGGGGACACAGCATATTGGATACGATCGCGTACGTATGACGCATGTACATGTTCACCATATGCATAAAAAGCTGCTGAAATTGATCGACATTGGCATGCATGCAGGACAAGGAATTTTGCATATTCTTAAGAACTTGATATACAGTAAGATTCTTGCATGTTTATGATCAAGAAGAATAAGCAATAAGATGCAATTATACACAAGATTTGATTTGTGATAGCGAGCAAAGGCCAAGTAGCTATAGCTAGTGTTTTCAACTATTTTCTCAATTATCTTCACAATCTTTGTAAGGGCAGATTTTGTCCACCTGTTAGTTCGACAGGGAAGTACCGAATCTAAATTTTCAGTTAATGAGAAGAAAAGAAAACTTTTCTAGTTAATGAAAAGATAAGTTTTTTTTTTTGAAGAGGATATGCAGACAGATATCAAAAGAGAAAAGCAAACGCATATATCCATTGCCAATTTTTTTTTTTTTTGATCATAATAATAAGCTAACAAAGATCTATTCGAGTTTTGAATGTAAAGGAACAACTTGGTGGCATTCTCCTCTTCAAACAAGTGTAAATTAATGTATGTAGTTCTGTTTTCCTGTGTTCCTTTTCTTTTGCAAGTAGTATTTGGTTTTTCTTTTCCTTCTTCCTGTTTCTAGAATTTTGCATACAATTACTATGGTGAGGGGACCAATTCAAGAAAGCGAGAATGGATTGGATAAACTCTATCTTCCTCCACATCAGCCAGCGCCCAGCAGATGCTATTCTACAATGATAAGTGACCAAAATGTGTCATGCAATCACAAGAAACAAGTTTAGCTTGATCCAGCTTTAAGAACTACGTCGTGTACTGTCTATGCATTCGTATACATTCATCAGGAATTTTTCGATAATCTTAATTCATAGGCGAGGCAAGACATCTGTGTAGAGATTAAGTTAATGTAATATTTGCAGAGAGGATGAACAAGTGACCCAGACCTTCCATGCGTTTGACATTCCACATAAATACCAGCCACTATTGAAAGCGTATTTAGATTCTTCATGGTGGTGAGATATGAAAAAAGGTATTCCTGTCCATCCTTCAACAAAGAATACTTATCAATATTATCAGTAATTAACTTCGAATTCTATATTTCAGATGCTACCAACGGGGGGCCGAAAGTATGTTCTGCTAATTGTTAAATGTATTGTTTTTATTCCTCCACTGTTTAGCTGTACGGAAAATCTATCCTGGAGATTTGAATTACAGTTATAGATGAATGGTACAAGTTGTTTATAGCACAAAGGGGTCACTATCAAATAAATCATGCATAATTTGCAATATTTTTCTTATCCAAACAAATATCAGGAGGATCTTTCTCTTTTTATCCTATAGTTTGTTTTTCCTTTATGGATTAAACAATGCTATCCACCACCCCTCAACTGCCCTTATAAATAAGGCCTGATGAATCTCAAAGTCCACCAAAGCAATTCCTCAGTAACTAGCAGCTACAAGCTTCCTGCACTCAGCTTGCTTCCCTGCAGGTTTTTTTCCTTTCTTGATTGACTTTGTGTTTCTTCCAAGCTAATTCTAGTAGCACTCAGCTAGCTGTGAATAGCAAGAGAATTGTTTCTTTTCTTAGCAACACCAGGAAAAGGTTTTAGAAATGGATAAGGTTAGAGATTTGGCATCTAGGAACGCTGCAGTGATCTTCACCAAGAGCTCATGCTGCATGTGCCACAGCATCAAGACACTTTTTTATGAACTAGGTGCAAGCCCGGCAATTCATGAGCTAGACCGTGAAGCCAATGGTAAGGAAATGGAGAGGGCTTTACGTGGGCTAGGATGCAACCCCACCGTCCCAGCTGTCTTCATAGGTGGAAAATGGGTAGGATCAGCCAAAGATGTGCTATCCCTGCACCTGGATGGGTCTTTGAAACAAATGCTTATGGAAGCTAAGGCAATCTGGTTCTAGCTATAGTACCTCTCAAATAAGCCACACAGTACTTTAGTTTAACGCTGGATGATATGGAAGTAGCTCTTATGCTATGTTGAAAACAATGTTGTATTTAAGGGCTTTGCTTTTTCTTGAGTTCCCTGACTGCATTGTACGAAAAGAAGTAATATTATGATAAAAAAAATCCTGAAGATCAGTTTTCAGGGTTGTTTAAGACTTCAATGATGCTTTCATTTCTGTCCATAATAAGAAACCTACCTGAGAACTTTGAGCATCCTTTTACTCTGTTAGATTGATGCCTATCTCATAAAAAATGGAGATCAGGCAAGCATTTACTGAAGTCACCTATCCTGAACAATTAGAATTCTCACTTCAGAATATCAGGCAGAACTGCCACGTGCAAGCTAAATTAAAATATAGGATAAAGTTCATTTCCATAGAAGAAATTTTCGGACAGAAATTTATCCACTTGGTAAAATTGCTATTCCTGGCAGAGCTTCCTCTGCACAACTGTCAAACTGATAGGAAATATTTGTGGGTAACATATGGGGCCTTTTCCTTGAAATCATTTTAAGATACATTTCAACCTTAAACATGGTTGTTTTTACCCTGAATTTTGGAATCGAGACCTTTTAATCACTTCTACATGGATACCTTTGCCAAGGGAATGGCAAAAAGGTGATGCTGGAACTTTAATGCGTCCTATAATGTATTCCTCCATATCAGTATGCAAAAACTTTTTCCGATGCGACTTTTATGCATAAACTAAGAATATAACATCCATGCATATGGTTTCCTAGATGTGCATATCTACATATGTGATGAGTATCAAAATGTAAGATGCTTAGATATAAGGTTGTTATATTAAATAATTGGTTGATTTTTTAGTTCAAGTAATCTAATATATTTTTTCTAGCTAAGATGTTTGACGGCTTAAAATAAAAAATACAGGTTGTTGGTAGTTGATGGTTCTAGGTAAGTCAAGGTGGTTGATGATGAATATATACAAAAGTTCTATTTTAATGGATACGTGGACTCTCTGATGCTCAAATTAGTAACTTTAAGGAGAGAAAAAGTACAAAGATATATTTGAGTGATAGACTCTAAAAATATATGTGCTAAAAGTGTTCTAAGTATATTAAGAGATTATGAACTTTGAGTTTGAATGATTCATAATGTATTATAGCTCATAAGTATTTTCCTTTGATGGAGAGGGGGAGATAAAGAGTAATTTTACTCTTGTGATATCTTTAGTTGTATTCTACTCAAAATAATATATATTGATCAATATAAAATAATAAGGGTACCTGCATGAGGTCCCAGAAAATTTTTTGGAAGAGAGTTAGGCTTAGGCAATTTGTAGGAGCTCATTAAAGGTAAGAAAAAAATAAATGCATACACACTTTCTAGGGCAAGCTCATGGAGTCAGGTTCCTCTCCTAGAATAAGACTATAAAGTGGGGCTCCTCCCTTAAAGCGAGATAATAGAGTGGAGCTCCTCTTCTAAAAAGAGACCATAGATTCAGGCTCCTTCTTTAAGGCGAGCCCATGAAGACAGTGTGCCTAGATACATTGAAAGGGGCCTTTTAGAGGGGGCAAGCTCATGGAGTCAGGTTCCTCTCCTAAAATAAAACTATAAAGTGGGGCTCCTCCCCTAAAGCGAGATAATAGAGTGGAGCTCCTTTTCTAAAAAGAGACCATAGATTCAGGCTTCTTCTTTAAGGCGAGCCCATGAAGACAGTGTGCCTAGATACATTGAAAGGGGCCTTTTAGAGGGGGTTTAGGCCCATTAAATTTAGATTTATCAATATACCCCCAAGTTTTTATAAGACTTGTAAGAATGTCTAGTATGAAAAGTTTTGTCGAGTTTTCTTTGTCTGAGAAGAGGAATGATCTAGGTAATGGAGGATCTGAGATCAACCCCTAGTGAATTGATAAGAGGCCCTTATACATCACCTAAAGAATATGTTAGTCCAAGATTGCACTGAAGAATAAAAGATCTGATATCAACCCCTGACAAATTAGTTAGAGGCCCTTAGGTATCACTTAGAGTATGTGTCAGTCTAAGACGACACTAGAGAATGAAGGATCCTAAATCAACCCTTAGTGAATTGGTGAGAGGCCTTTAGAAATAACTTGGAGAATGTGTCATTGCAATAAAAAGACCTTAAACCCATCTCTTGAAGATTGAGGGTTATTGTTCTAAAGAGACCAAGTCAATCCCCTTCAAGGAAAGTGATTGGAAACCCTCACTAGAGATTTATAATTAAGAAATGTATGTCAAAAATACATTATTTTTATTTCAAAAATAAACTTACATTTCTATAAAGGATTATACATCTTGATATAATTTGAGTGATAAGTATGGAGGGTTATTAGGAGGGATGTGTCTTAGAGGTAGAGTTAGGGTATTTACTTTGACTATACTGGAAACTTTGAATGAGTGATCCTAGTTTGATTTAAAAGAGTTATAAATCCTCAAGATATATCTGAATACACTCGATCTCTTGTTAGGTAATACTAAATAGCTCCATATAGCTTTTCTTGACAGGAATGTTGGTGTTGAAGTGTGTCATTAGCTTAATGCAGAGGTCACGAAACCATTTAATGGAGCTTAGCTCCAAACTATTGTACCAAGCACGAGCATATCCCTAGAAGGTTATGAGGAGAATTCTTCACATTAAGTCATTATCTTGAATGACCAACTTTAAGCTACCACGTAAATTTTATACATACTCTCTTGGGATGGTCATGTCATTATAATTATTCAGACTTATTTTTTTGAAAATATAGTTTTGAGAGAGACTTATTTTTTTTTAAATGTAGTTTTGAGAGAGACTTATTTTTTTTAAAATGTAGTTTTGAGAGAGTTAAGTGTTCAAAACTCGTTTGGCTAAAAAAGAACCCCTCCAATAATGATGGCCATAATTATTTTTTTAGATATGCTCATGTATAGATATTTTTTTAGTCCTTTGTCTGTTAGGCTCTTAGAAGTTCGAGGAGTTTGGCATGAAATGACTATGATGATAATTGGTTTCCATCTCATAGTAACTAGAGAAAGGATAATTAAAGTACTAGCTCTGTATATAGGTATTACAATAAAGCGAGTGACCCCTTAATGGACTGTAATAATTGTTATTTTAGTTAGTCTTTTTTAGGTAGTGTAATTATTTATGAGCAACTCGTATAGCCGGTGGTCGTGGTGCTTAGGTGTTATGTGTTACTAAAGGTGTTAAGATTTGTTAGGGTGACAAGGTTTGATTTTGCTCTTTGTTGCCAACACGATCTGAGTGAGGAGTTATACCTGACTAGTGAGTTTTTTAATGTTTAGCTGGGTAGAAGTGTTAATGATGATGGGTAAAGTTGTCATCCTAATACAAGTGTGTCTTGTTTGTGTGTCATAAAAAGACCTAGAAATGTCACATACAAGTTTTAAAAACTAATGGTTTTTTTATTAGGTTCTCATAAACGATGCCAATTGATAAATCTTAAAATTCAAGATGCTTATGAAAAAGGCTAATATATTAGATAATTTATTAATCTCTTAGTTCAAGTAATTTGATTCATTCTTCCTAACTAATATATCTGGTGACTTGATATAAAAAGCCTAGATGATTGGTAGTTGGTAGCTAGTGGTGTTAGGTAAATCAAGGTGGCTGGTAGTTGGTACCTATAAAAAGTCTCATTTGATGGATATGAAAACTCTTTGATGTTATGCCAATAACTTTATAGAGAAAGAAAGTAAAAATAGATTTTATAGAAATAGACTCTGAAAATATATATGTTGAAAGTGTTAAGAATGAAGAGATGGTAAACCTTGAGTTTGAAGGATTCGTAATATATTTATGGCTCATTAGTCATATCCTTTTATTAAAAGAAAAGGCTGAAGAGTACTTTCACCCTTGTTATATTTTAAGTTGTATAATACTTAAAATAAAATGTGTTGAATCAATATAAAATAATGAGACACCTATATATGGTCTTTGAAAAATTTTCAAATGAGTAAATTTTTCAAATGAGTATTAGGTTTAGGCAAGTTTCTTGAGCCCATTAAAGGTGAAAAGAAAAATATATCCAAACACACTTCCTAAGGCGAGCCTATGAAGTTAGGCTCATTCCTTAGAACAAGCCTTATAGGAAAATTTGAAAAATCTTATAAATTGATAAAATATCAATTTGTCCTCTAAATAATATTCATATATTAATTGAAAATTTTAGAAATAACTCAATCAAATTCTTACTTGATTTTTCTAGGTATAGAAATATAATCTCTATATTAATTATATTCTAGTTCTTAATTTCTAAAATACATTTTAATAAAGTCATACTTTATTAAATCATCTTAACTTAATTTTTGACTAATGGTTTTTAATGTGTGTGACTCATTAGATTCCTAATATGTTGATTTAAATATAAATTATAATTCGAATTTAATATAAATAAATAATTTTAATTTATTATCAATTAAATAATTAATTAATTTATATTTGATAATCAGGTGTATCATCTAACAATATATTATGATCCCTCATATATTATAAAAGTTATTAGTGATTTGACTTAACCTTTTATTGATAGGTTTCTTACTGTAATTAATATCATTTCATCAATAATATTCTGATTTAATATTAAATCATGGAGTATGTATATTGACATGATCAAAAGATTGATGTTTTATGCTAAGTGAAGGAATGTTGAAATAATAAATAATCTGGCAAAATCAGGGTCAAACTATAGGGAGTTTAACTATATAAAATACAAATAATAAATGAAAAGGAGTTAAAGAGAACTTTTGAAATGTAATATTAATGTGAGTATTAATTAAAAATAAAAGCAATTGTCAATGTTAGAGAATCCACTAATAGTATTAGAAATAAGTACAGTATAAATTTTTTTTATTAATCAACTAGAAACCACACGCATAGGAGGTTCCAAGCGGATGATTTATTCTTAATAGTTTATTATAAATTTTTAACATAATTATATTAATTATCTTATTTTAGTAACACTAACACAACAAAAAGATTGATGTCCTCTCCCAAGTGCAGGAGTGTCGAAAT